TGGCGCACGTTCCGCCAGCGGGCGGCGAGGCCTAGCGGCCGCAGTGAGCACACTTGCTGCTCCTGGACGTGGTGTCGGCGGAGCGGGAGCAGGCGCGCCGTAGACCATGACCTGCCCTTCGGGACTCAGGGGAACTTATTTTCTCAGCTTCCAAGTAGGGTGGGTTAGGATGGGATCTTCCGCCCACGGATTTCCCGGCCCTGAACTCTTCGTCCTCTTCTTCCTGTCCGCGTACACAGGCCTGTCCCACGCTGGTGGAGCCACACCGGGCAGCACCGGCTTTGCCTTGAGTTCCGGATATTCCGGGGTCACGTTGGCCCAGGACTGTGGCTTGGAAAAGAAGGCAGCAGTTTCCTGGAGTTGTGAACTGGAATTCAGTTCATTTCCCTCCAGCCACACCCAGACTTTCATCTGTTTTGGCACAGGGAGAATAACCAGGAAACACGTTTGAGATGATTGGAGGAAATAGCGGGCAGGATGGGAGGAGAGTGACCCCGGGCAGGAGGAAGGAAAGGGAGAGAGAGAAGGTGGGCCCGGATGTAGGAGGAAGGTCCCTTGCCTTCAGCGCAGCATCCTTATGACCCTCACGTGCAAGGCCTTGTCTGTGTTTGGGCCTCAGTGCCCCCCTGGGTTCTTCTCTGACCCTATCTGTTCTGGAACTCAGTTCCTCCTCTGCATGAGACCGCAGCTGGCCCACCCTAGTGTGCCCTGGTTTTCCCACTGTGCCCTTGGTCCCTGCTCTTGTCTGAGGGTTGTCATCGAGGACGCATGCAGGACTCAACCTGTTCCGTTTTGCCGCTGCTTCTGAAGGCCCCAACGGTCACACCCACATTTCCCTAGTTGAAAACTGTCTTCTGAAGGGGTACTTCCTCTTAGGGAATTTCTTGGAAGGTGGGTGGAGGTAATGACGAGCCCAGACTGGGGACACTTTGGGAGATGGCTGTCCTCAGTCTCTTGTGGAAATGGCTTCTTGATCCTACCTTACAGTTGTAGGGTCTTTGGATTCCGGCTGGACAGCTAAGATTTGGGGCTAAAAGCAGAATCCCGAATGCCTTTCACCACCTCCCCACCCTGGGCTCACTTCTGTGGGGTGGGTGCTGGTCCAAGGTCAGGCTCTGGGAATTTGTCCTGCCCAGGGCTATGAAGCTCAGGGCAGCATCCCCATTGAGTCCAGTGTGTCCTTGTGGGAGGTAGCTGAGTGATTGCCTTGTCCCCTTCCCCAAGCTCCACACCAGCTCCCTGACTGCCTGAGGCCTTCAGGGTGTGGCTTGTGTGAAAGCAGGCTAGCACTCAACATGCATAGCATGTGCATGGTGCAACTGCAGGAATGAGCTGGTGTCCTCCACCTGCAGCTCTAGGGAGGACAGGAGGGGGCGCTGGCCCTGAGAGGCAGGGGAGGTTGGGCAGGGACAGTACAGCAGCCTATGGCAAGTGGCTCACCAGTACTGCATGTATACCTGCACAAGCTCATCCATTCTCCAACCACTGTCATTACCTGTGGCGAGACGGGGGCAGGCATCCTGTCCTGGAGTTATGTGGTCAGGGTCCCCATTGTGAAAGAGTTGGGAAGGAGAATGGGCTCCTCTGAACGCCTGCTCCCCGCAGTTGGAGCAGGAGCAGGGTAAGGGCTCACCCTTCCGCCTGGGGGTGGCATTTTCCTATCTGATCTTGCTGGTCCAGCACTGAGGTCATGGGGTCATTGCTTCACTCTTCTCTGGCCTCCATTGTGTCATAGTTCATCCATCACTGTGGTTCTTCCCACTGCAGTGATACTCGGTGTCTGTTCTCAGCAGTTTAAGCAGGTTGCAGCAGTTGCCTGCTAGAACACTGTGCCCTTATTACCGTAAACTGCTGCCACTTCTTATGAAGGAGAGGCCGCCAGAGTAGGATTTTTTGCTCATTCAGGTTCATGAAGCCAATGAGAAAACCCAGGTTGAGTGCCAACTGCACAGACTTTTCAGTGGCTGAAGAACAGACAAGCAGTACCCTTGTACACAGAGACCAACCTGCCAGCCATGTGCTGGGAGTTATGGACAGAGAGCAGTAGGCGTTGGAGTATGTTCAGAGGTTTTGGGGAAGGAATGGCAGTTTCCAGGAACCCAGGTGCTCTGTGTTCTTCCTTTATAGGGTCCTCCCTGGCTGCCACCCTGGTGATTGTGCACCATCGTGATGCTGGTGGACATGGCATTCTGCTTTGAGATGAGGCCATGCAGTCTGAGGTCTGTTGGAGGTGTTTGAGCCACCATTTTGGACCAAGCTGGTCTTTCTTGGCAGAGTGCTGTGAAGAACTCTAAGCATCAGTCCCTAAAGATAAGTGCAGTTAGGGCAGGGTCAGCAAGGTGGTTGTGCAGATACTTTACTGGGTAACACTGAGCCCAGAAAGACTGAGGTGAGTCCTGTCACATGACTTGTGTTACTCTCGAGAGAACCATAGACCACGGGTGACAAGAAGCTGGATATACTGAGAACCTGGAGTGGGCAGCCCCCAGTGCAGTACTTTGGATAGCTTTTGGTCTGTGTGCTTGTGTGGTGGGCAAGGAACCATTGGAGGCACGGCCAGGGCTGTGGAGGGGTAGAGTGGAAGCGTGGTTGGGGTGGTGGTGGGCTGTATGCACGGGAAACCAGGAGGCTGTGCAAGGTGAAAGGAGTTGGAGTCAGACCTGGTCATGCACGTGTGCGGTGTGCATGTGCCATGTGCACCTGTGCCTGAGAGTCAGGGGCTGTGCTTCTTTGAGATTATCTCATGGCCTACATTGGGGATTAAGAAGCAGTCTCCCTGCCTGCATGGGTATCCTTCCTATTGAGACAGCCCCACGGGAGGCTGTCAGCCCTGCCTTAGTGGGTCCATGCAGCCCCTCCTGCACTCAGGCAGCCCTCAGCGTCTTCCCCACCCACCAGGGTGCTCTCCCTGGGCTCATATGGGAACAGGTACACATCTCAAGGCTGGATGAATTTCCGCCTCCTTCCTGTACAGTGGATGGGCAGGGCTGACTTTCCATCCCCAGAGGATTTGGCTCAGAAGGGCGGGTACAATCTTGGCAGGGATTACCCCCAGCTCTCCATGCAGAGCTGCCACTGTGACCAGCTCTGGGCTGACTGGATGCCTTACCCCACTGAATGGGTGGGTGCTGTCCTGTCCCCCAGATGGGGGCAGAGTCCCTTTGGGACTACACTGGAGGAAGATGGGTACAGGGGCTAGGGGCCGGGAGAGGGTAGGTGGTGTCAATGCTAGAACTGGGTCCTCTCCAGTGGAGGAAGTTCAGGTCCTGGATGGGGCCAATCTGGCCCAGGGCTGGCTGCTGCCCCACCACCTGCTCCATCTTCACTGCCCCTTGAGGGGCTTGAAGGGCTGCCCAGCTTCCTTCCAGCCAGCTATTCTGCCCAGGCACAAACATCACCGAAGATGGGGTCCCAGTCCAACAGCAGGTTCTGGAATGAGCCAGTGTCCAGGACCTGTGGGGTGGGTCCCAGGGAGGAAGGTGGATACTTCTGTGGTTCCAGTCAGGGCTCTGGGGGGAACCCTTGCGTCTCTGCAGAGTCCAGTGCTATGCTGTGGGCATACACTGCAAGGCCCTGGGGAAGGTGCCTTACCCTGTTCATGTCACATCACATCTCCAGGCATGGCGGGACCCAGGCCTGTGGTGCTGAGTGGCCCTTCGGGTGCCGGCAAGAGCACCCTGTTGAAGCGGCTTCTCCAGGAGCATGGCAGCATCTTTGGTTTCAGCGTGTCCCGTGAGTGCTGTGGGACATGGGCCGGGCCCAGAGCCCCAGACAGTGCATATCTTGTGGGCTAGGGCAGCCTGCCCAGGGACCAGAGTGGGGCTGGAGGGCTCTGCGGCCCCCTCAGCAGTGACACATCTCTTCTAGACACCACACGGGACCCACGTCCTGGCGAGGAGAACGGCAGAGGTGAGCTGCGCAATAGCAGTGTCCCCTTGTCCAGAGAGGCCAGGGCCCTCAGTGGTGGGCGCAGTTGGGTCCTGTGCATTGTGGTATTGCAGGTGCCTGGGTTTGTGTGAGAGGAACTGGGGCCACAGGACTGAGGGCCAGGGGTCCCTGCTGGGTGCTATTGGTATGTGGATGGGCATGTAGCCCTGTGCCCAGCGGTACCTCCCAGGTGAACAGGGCTGCCATGCCTAGGAGGCCTACCCTGTGGAACCTGGTGGTCCCACCTCTCCCCATGGAGCAGGTGGTTCCCAGTCCTCATGTGAGCAGCTGTGGGTGGAGAAAGGACAGTAGATGCAGGGGCGAGGACAGTTGCTGGCCAGCCCAAGATGCCATCTAGACAGCCTCTTCCTCCCCAGATTACTACTTTGTGACCAGGGAGGTGATGCAGCGTGACATTGCGGCTGGAGACTTCATTGAGCATGCTGAGTTCTCGGGGAACTTGTACGGGACGAGGTGGGCTGTGCTTGGCTAGCCTGGGGTAACCCCTGCCCTATCTTGCCTGTCACCCATCTGCCCACCCAGCCTGTTGGCACCTGGAACTGGCTGTGCTCCAGATGCGGGTTGGTGGGCAGCTTTGGGGAGCAAGCAGGCCTGCACACATCCCAGCTGTGTCCTTAGCTGCCCTGGCAGGATGAGCAGCTAGTTGTGGTTATGGTAGCTCAGGGCTATGCATATCGGGTGCCTGGAGGGCCCACCCTGCCAGTGCTGGAAGCCAGGGGCAGCTCACCCACATCCTGGCCACCTGGTCCCCAGCAAGGCAGCCGTGCGGGCGGTACAAGCCATGAACCGCATCTGTGTGCTGGATGTGGACCTGCAGGGCGTGCGCAGCATCAAGAAGACTGACCTGCACCCCATCTACATCTCTGTGCAGCCACCCTCGCTGGCCGTGCTGGTGGGTGCAGGGGTGTGGGCCAGTGGGCAGACAGATGCCTGGAAGACACTGACCCCAGGGTGCTTTTTAGGAGCAGCGGCTGCGGCAGCGCAACACTGAGACAGAGGAGAGCCTGGCGAAGCGGCTGGCCGCCGCCCGGGTAGACATGGACAGCAGTGAGTGTCCATGCCTCTCTGGGTCCCAGCTGGGGTGGGGTTGGGGTGGGGAGAGGAGGTTTGGTGCTCCTGCTTGGTGGGGCAGCCAAGGCCCCAGGCCTGGGTTTTACACAGATGGGAGGCACATGACCTGAAGCCCTGATGAACAGGGCAGTCACAACTGGAAGCCATTTCCTTATACCCTGACCATCCCGGTAGGCAAGGAGCCTGGCCTGTTTGACCTGGTGATCATCAACAACAACCTGGATGAGGCCTACGCACAGCTGAAGCAGGCGCTGTCCGAGGTAGGTGCCCTGGCCTTCCTCTGTTCTGTGGGGCACCTGCTGTATGCCTGGCTTGCGCGGGAAGTGGGCACCCAGCCCTCCTTTGGCCTGTGTCACTGATCCACTGTGTTTCTCCTTGGCAGGAAATCAAGAAAGTGCAGGGGCCAGGCCAGGCCTGAGGACCTGTATTCATGTTCCCAGCCTGATGGCTCCAGGGGGAGGTCTGGCTAGGTACCTTGTAGGTCCTGCAACAGCCATCACAGGATGGGCAAAGCTGCCCCCAAGATGGCCACACAAAAATCTGCCCCTCAGCGGGTACAGGCACCGTCCTCACTCACCATTCTCCAAGAACCCTCAGGTGCCCTGCCTTCCTCCCTGGGCTTTTCCTGTTCCCACTTCTTCCACTGGAGTGGGCTGACTTTTAAATAAAGTGATTTTGGTTTACACTGTCACATCCCTGAGGTTGGGGTTTGGTCCTCATTTGGGCAGGGGACATAGTGCTCTGCTGGAGCCCTGGGTGTCTGTGCTGTGCACCCCCTGGGTCTCCATCCTTGTTGCTGTCCATGGCTGCTCCTTAGCTCACCTCATGGGACCCAGGCAGCTGAGGGGACCCCAGGGCCACCTCATCGCTCCTGAGCTGTTGGAGGCCTCAGATGGTAGAGGGTGCAGTTGGAGGCTAGGATTAGCCTTGGGACCTGCCAGGGGGCCACAGGCTCTGGTCTTTGAACAAGACTCACTTGGCCCTGAGGCCCCAGGAGGAGCCTTATACCCTTGCTGGGGCTGGTACAGGGGCATACAACCTGGTCTCTGGAGATTCTGGATCCCTAGGGTTCAGCGGACTTGGGGCTTCCCTAGAGGGCTGTCTCTCCATCCTAACCTGAGAGGCACACAGACCTCAGTAAGTAGCGCCTGTGGTTACCTTTGCTGTCACCTCTCTCCCAGGGATGTTGGGTGCCATGTTCAGGACCCACGTATTGTGAGGAGGTGGGCATCCAGGTGGAAATAGCCAGGAGACTGAGGCATCTTCTGCCATCCCAAGGGGGCAAGCTGGCAGGTGAGGGGCAACCTGGGCTGGCTTCCACTCCTTGCTGCCCCACCCCCACAGGACAATCGGGGATTCAGACCCTGAGGCCAAGGGGGGAACAATGGAGCCCTTGAAGGCCCATCCTCCACCCCACCCCCCATTGTGCTTGGTGGTGAGAGCTGGCCCTGGCCCTCACCATACATCCTCGGGGAGAGCCAGGACCAGCAGAGTCTAGCCTGTAGGTGGGAGGAGGGCTCCTAAGACTGCATTTCCTGGCCTGGAGAAGGTAGGGGCTTTGTGGGACCCCAAGCCTCACCCAGGGAAGCTGTAGGGGTCGTTGACCTGCTCCAGGGAGAAGACATGAACGGTGTTCCTACCAAGTTTTGGAGGGCATCATGGGCAGGGATGGGACTTGGCCTCTGGGTGGGTGAGATGTCCTGGCTGGTCAGCAGGGACCTCCAGTGTGTCCCCAGCAGCTGGGGCCGGAGTGATTAGTGCAGCCTGCCAGCCCTTTCCCAGGGTGCTGTGGCTGCAAGCCCATGCTGAGCAGGTGAGTGGGTGGGCAGAGGTGGCCTGTCCAGTGTTACTAGAGTAACTATGTGGCTAGTGTGCTCCCAAAGCCTAGTGGTAGGGGCATGGTCAAAGTTTGGGGGGGCCACAGGGAACAGAAGGGGAGCAGGGATACCACCAGAGTCAGCAAGGCACCCTCCCTAGTGGCCTGGCTTCCTGCCACAGCTTCCCTCTCCTCTAGCCCTGTCCCCCAGAAGCCCTGGAAGGGAGAGCACCCAAGGTGAGGGTCCTGTGCCCCACCTGAGCCGTGTGCAGGGGCCCTGGTGCTGAGTTCCTTGGCCACTTCCCCACGCTTGGGTGCTAGCACTGTGTCCTGCCAGCTGCCCAGGTGTGACAGGGAGGTATGTGAGGGGCAGGAGAGTGGGACTGGCCTTTACCCTGATCCTGTAGTTCCCAGGATCCTACCAGAGGGATGTGGAGGATGGTCACGGAGGCCTGGAGGAGGCTGAGATGAGGGAGGCTGGAATGGACGTCTGTGTTGGGTGTAGTGTAGTAAGCTTAGCTGGGAAATGGGTGGGGGAAGTGGCCTTAGGCATGGCCTGAGGTCCCCAGGCCTGAGGTCGTGTTGGGCAGTCAGAAGGTATTTGGTAGAGGTGAGTGGTCAAGGGAAGAGGCCTAGAGTCCTGGGAGACAGCTGTGGCCTTACTGATTTGCTGTCCCCCTGGGGTGGGGGCCATGCATCACTGCCAGGGCCAGGCCCCAGCCCCAGCCCCAAGTGGGGTCTGGCCTAATGTGGCGAGCTGAGCCTTCTGGTCCCCTGCTGGCCCCAGGCGGGTAGACTGGGCTGGGAACTGCTGGGTGGCAGGTGGAGGTCCTTGCTCAAGCCCAGGGTGAGCAGAGCCTTTCAGGGACAAGAGCCCTGTCACCACCCCTGAAGGCCAGGATGGCTGATCACCCCACTACCCAGACAGCCTAGCCGTTCATTCACAGGGCTCCCCATTCACTGATCCCTGGGTTAGGACCTGACATCCAGCCCTTAACCTGTAACCTACGGAGGGAGCGCTCCTGTTCGGCTCTTTGTCTCTGCCATATCCCCTGGGAGTGTGTCCTGTCTCCAATTGTGTTACCATGCGTGGGTGGGCCTGGGGGTGGAGCTCTGACATCAGACCTGTCCAGGGAACCCACAGGTCTCCTCATACCTGCATACGTTATCTGGGTAAGTGTTCATCTCTGTGAAGCTGGATGAGTTCAACCCGGTGTCTCCCTCGTGACCCATTGGCCCTGGAACAGCTACCATCTAAAGGGACAGGGCAGCAGTGGGAGTTAGCCCAACCCAGTGGGGAGCAGCTCGAGGGGCAGACTCATGGGGCCCAGCACATTTGTGTGCATGTTTGCATGTGAACAGACATGCTGTGTGCAGAGGCAAGGCAGGGAACAGGGCTGGGAGGGCAGCCTGATGTGTGGGAGTCTGTGTGGATCCAGACTCAGTGGGAGGACCAGGCGGCAGGGCCCACCATGCAGGGCATAGTGGTTGCATGCATGGTTTGCTCATGACCTGAGTGTGGTATAGGCAGAGTCCTGTGGACTGAGCTGCCCAGGGTGGGGAGGCTGCTTTGGGGAGGCATTCAGGTCTGACATTCAGAGCTTGAGGGGTCTGCCAAGTGCCTACATACTGTGGGGGAGAGAGCTGGGCCCCGCTGTGGATTTGGGAGTCCTCCAGGCATGACCCTGAGCTCCAGCACCACAGCTCTAGAAGCTGTGATTGACTGCACATGAGTGCCAGTGTAAGACTCCCTCAGGAAAGTCAGCTTGGGCTGCACACATTACTTAACTCCATGCTTCATGATAATCATCCACACAGGAGTGCTTACCCCACAGAATCTGAAAACCCCACAAGCCAGGTCCTCCCTAGAGGAGGTGGGTCTGCTGGAGACAGAAGGATGGAGTGACTCCTGAGGGCTGGGGAGCACCAGTCTGTGAAGGTGTGTGCATCAGGTGTAAATGGTGTTTATGTGTGCACATATGTATGCATGTGTACAGGCAGTCACATGTAAGGCCACGTGTCTTACACCATGTGTGTGTTTGGATGTGTCTTACATGCATGTGCATATGGTGTGCACCTGAGTGCCTGTGAGTGTATATGCACACGGTGTGCGTTGGCATGCATGAGTGCATCTGTGAATTCACACGTGTCTGTTAATGCATGCAAGTGTGTATAAGTGTGCCTGCAAGCACACATGTGGGTGTACATCTGTGCAGATGTATGCACAGGAGAGTTCATGTCTGCCTGTGGCCTCAAAAGAGCCTCAGTGATGTGAGGAAGTGGGGCCACTTCCTCAGGAACCTGGGCTGCCCTGTCTTCCTCTGATGGGGCGAGGCCCCAGAAGCATAAAGCCAGGGCCTGTGGCTCTGGCTGTTGGTCCCACATCTGCTGTCACTGCCGCTGCTTCCCAGGCCTGTCCAAGGGAGGGGAGACACGACACGTGGCTTGGGGGCTTCTGCCCCAAAGCTAACCAGGAGCAGGTACTGGCCCTAGGGTGAATGAGGCTGGATGAGCACCAGGGAGGTTCAGAGGCCTCCTGTTAGGCACAGGCCTGCTGGGCTTGGCTCTTCTAGGACATGACTGTCCTGTCCCTGCTGGGACAGTCCAGGGTTTCCAGAGTGGGACTAGGCCAGGAAGATGGGCTCTAGGCAGTGGTGGCGGGTTGCGGGTGGGAATGGGAATCAGGGTGAG